CAGTTTGTCTGATAATATTTTTTATTCTAGAAAAAGTCTTAATTGTTTTGTTTCGGCGAGAATAAAAGCAGTTTTAATTTTTTATAATCCATTTAAGGGACAAAATTATTAGCCCCTTTAAGCTATTTTCTTTTCTTGATAATCTACAGAACAATCTACTGTTATACAATAACTTGCCTAATTACCCTAACCAGCCTAGTTAACCTAATTAACCTAGTGTGGAAATATAAATTTCTATCATCTAATTCCAAATGAACAATAATCTACGTATAACTGATAAAGTTATATTCTTTGGTTTTAATTATATCACTTCATTGACATCCCAGCTAGGAGGGACATTTAACCTTTGTCTTTCTGACTACAGGCTAAGCCAGTGATGCAAATGCTTTAAACGACTCTGCCTTTGTCTTCGGGTGTTGCTTTTATGCAACAGAAACCTTTTGTTGATCAACTTGTGTGGTCAGTAGCTGGGCCGGTTTTTAACATCTATATGCCAGTATCATGCTGACTCCAATACTGAATTTGCATGCTTTGTTTTAACCATCTTCAATCCTCATAAGAACACAATATAGACGAAATCTTTGTCTTAATTCAGTCTTGTGAGAGACTTGTGATAGAACTTGCAGACTTTACAACACTAGTTAAGCCTTTAAATGTCACTTTAAGCTGTATAGAAGTGTCTTGAAAAATATCTAGTCAAATATTATTTACTGTCATCATGGCAAAGATAAAATAAATCAGTTATTAGAAATGAGTTATTAAAACTATTGTGTTTATAAATGTGTTAAAAAAATCTTCTCCCAGTTAAACAGAAATTGTGGAAAAAAATAAACAAGCGGTCTAATAATTAGGGGGGCTAATAATTCTGACTTCAACTGTATATATATTATAATTCCTGCATGCCGGTACACACAAACCATACAGTTCTGATGTCAAATGATTATAGCTCATGTCTTATTGAACTATTATTGCATACTATGGTATTATACTGACTCTAATTAACAGGGGTTTCATTCTGTAAAGCAAACACCAGCAGTTTAATGATTAGTAATGACGCTCATTATTCATCCAGACACACTGAGCGTCGCTCCTGAGAGATTATGAGATGAGCTTCAGTCCATCTCCGCACGCCACTGATTATTTGTCATGTGCAGTAATTAAAAGGGTTGGCTTTTTAATCAAACGCAGTGCTTCGTTAATCTCCATTTAACATACTCTCAGTTTGTAAGTGTGAGAAGAGACGCTCCAGATCTGTTTCTTGTGCTAGAAGTTTTCCAATCAGGGATGAATCGGGATTAAGAAAATCTCTAAATAAAGTCTGCTGAAGAGCTTTCCATCAAAACTGCAGCTGTTTTAGGATTTAGCCCGCTTCAAAATGCTTCAAAACAAAGTGAGTTGAGAGATTCATGCTGGTAATCGACTGTTTTCTGTGAATCCCCTGATGTGTATATATAATAGTACATCTTTTGCTGTAAGCCGAAGTTCATTACATATTTGATCTAGATGCAGCAAATTGAACTTGTTTGATGAACTGTTATGAATCTCCAATGTTCAACTTTTTTATGAATCTTTTGCTGTATTAATCTTTTTTATGGACGATTGACATTCACATATACACTCTCAGAAATAAAGGTACACGAGCTGTCACGGGGGTGGTAACTTTTAAAAAGGTTCATATTAGTACTTGAAGGGTTCATATTGTTACCTCAAAAGTATATATTAGTACCATAAAGTTTTAAGAGGAACACTTTTGTATTTTTTAGATACTAATATGTACCCTTAAGGTAGGTAAATGGACCTTTTAGGTATAAATTTGTACCTTTTCGAAAGGTACAACCCCAGTGACATCTTGTGTACCTTTATTTCTGAGAATGTAGCATAGTTTATTCAAGTTTGACCTCTTTGAGTCTCTTGGTTGGATAGAAAGAAAAGTAAAAAAGTATTTAATTCTGAGCCATTTTTAAAATATTCTCATTGTGATTATTTTTACACTGGTTAATGTATCAGTGTATTAATAATAATAATAATAAGAATAATAATAATAAGAAGAAGAATGAGAATATGAATTATTATTATTATTATTATTATTATTTATTCTAATAAATTATATAGATTTTTATCATTTACATATAATAATATTTATCAATAATAAATTACATAGATATTTTTTTCCAAACTTTACAAAAAGGTTTCATTAGTTATTATATTACAATATTTAATGTATTTATAACTGAAACTAATAGTGAACAATACTTGTACAGCATTTATGGTTCAACATTTACTTTATTTACTTCCAAATTTGTGCTTGATGACATTAGTTAATGCGTTAACATGAACTAACAATTAATCTATTTTCATTAGCCAATGCTAAAATATAATTATAATAATACTGTTTTATATATATATATATATATATATATATATATATATATATATATATATATATATATTTATATATATAAATATAA